TAGAGAGATGAAACCATCTCAGGTGCTGGACAATAAAAGGGTTCTGTTCAAAACAAAACAAAAAAAACCTCTCTCCCATCTTTATTTCCCATCAAACCAAAAAAATCTCTCTCACATTAACTCAGTGGAAGAGAACACAGGGGAGGGGCTTCCCAGAGGAAATGTGGTTTATAACCGAGCCTCAAAGTCACTGCAGCAGCAATTTCTGAGCTGCTGCCGCCAGGACAGGAGGAACCAAGTTGAGATTGACTGATCTGATCCAGAGCAGGGGTGAAGTTCAGGCTTCGGTTGTGGCTAAGATAGAAATCACATCTATTCAGAATCACTCTTGATTGCCATTTCCTTGCTTGACCTCCAGATGAAGTGGCGGGCTGCCAGTTGTGGGCCCTGGCATTTGGAAAATATGTGTTTTTCAAGACTGGAATCACACCTGGTGTGGCCCGGTAGTGACCACGGCAGGTTTATGTCTGCTGTCTCAGGATACTCTGGGAGCACACTGGCTGTCACTTTAAATTTTCTATCTGTCTTTTTCAAGTATAAGGGTTGGATTTATGTAAGTAAAATAAGCATCTTATGTAACTGCACAGATGAGAAATGGAATCCCAAGGTGTGTCAGTCCACACAGTTTGCACAATTTTATTAAGGGTTCCTGGATTTTTAATTTGTTTTGTTTGTTCTTTTAACAATTTGGATAGCATGAGACAGTTCATTGTGCACAACAACTCAGGATGGTGGTGGTGTTGCTTTGCTTTGTTTGTTTGGTTTTATAACCTTATGTCTTTGTCTTGAATCAAGCTCTATAAATTTTTAAGCTGAATTTATACATTTAGTAGTATACTACTCATCACAACTTATTTTCCCCCTGCATATTCCTCATTGCTTAGGAAAGCTTCATACCTATAAAGTCTAGTTACTAAAAATTTCAAAATGCTCTGATGAATATTATAGTTCATGGGGGTAATTTTCTAAAAACAGGGAAATATAATTTATTAAAAACAAAAACCATAATCAACTCTGTAATATTTTATTAACTCCTATTCTGTGGCTATTTCTGTCACTGTCACTAATGATCCATAGTGCTTCAAGGTCAAAGTGCAGTTTTATAAAATTTTCATAATTACACTTAGGTTACTAGATGCAGACATGTTTGATCACTTTTATACACAAATTTGTCCTTGGAAGTTAACTGGTGGATATGATGTTGCTTTCAGTACTGTAATATATCATTGAGACATACACAACAGTAGTTCAGTAAGCAGTACATAGCTTTCTTTTAGGTATCTCTCAGAGCACCACCATTATTTCCGGAAGTTTCTTGAAGGCAAAGGAAATAATGGATGCTGATATACAAAATGTGGTGTTGCCCATTCAGAATGACTGTGAGTAATTGATACGATATTGAAAGATGCTTATCTTTTACCTCATTTACAGAATCATGTGATTTAGCGTGTCTCTAGCCACTTCAAAGTCCAAATCATAATCCAGGAAATACGTGATAAACACATGTGGTTGGGTTTGATGTTGCTCAACCGGATGCGATCCACACTCTGATTGACCTGAATAAATCCTGAGACCCCATGGGGTCCAGATTCTCATTCTCATTTGGAGTCTCGTTCAAGGAAAACATCAGAAACCCTTGAAGAATAACATTATCTCTTCAATCTAAGTTTTTTAAAAGGCATGGCTTAAAGGTTTTACACTGCACTCCACATAAACAGCTTCTATGTAGCCTCTATTCTACCTACACTCACGGCCACTGCTAACCCTCTCTTTGTAACTCTCATCCACATCCTGTTTCACTGGCCATGAAGCTTTCCTCATTAAAAAAAAAATTACGAAGATATAATTCACATTCCATTTTCCTCCTTATTTTTGATCAGACACAAATATATCCAACTCTTCCAAATATAGAAGTATAAATGCTATTCCACCTCCAGGCTCAATATATCCATATGAATTTCCTGTTCTGCTTCCTGGACGGGCTGTGTCTCTCTAGGGTGACTGGAGGACCTTTAGCTCCACTCATCCTTATTCCCGAATATCCCTTATTTCCTGCAGGCACAGCTCCCTCAGAAATAAAACTCATTGCTAGGCTCTGCGCTTCTTGTGAGAATATTCTAATATAGAATTTTCTGATAATAAAATGTCCACCTACTAACCGCAGCCACCATTTATGCACTGCACTGGCTACGCTCTTTGTGCCCTCACATTCAATGCTCATAAAATTATGTCCCTGTTACAGATGAGAAAACTGGGGATCCAAAAAAATAAATAAATAAAGCAATTCACTGCAACTAGTAAGTAATGGATTTGGGATTTGAACCCAGGTAATTTGAAGCCTTCCTTTAGCAGTGACATAGCTTGTTTACCAATTCGGCCCTATTCTCTGTGCTCTTTAATATGGAAAAGGAGGGATGCATCTGAGTAGGAAGACTGTGCAAATATAGGCAATTAATTAAGTGTTCTCTTGGTTTCATGTTATGCATGTGTGTGAGGAAAGCATAACTCCCGAATCAGAGCCACAAATCTCTCCTTGGGCCCTGGGAATACTTTGGAATTGTTTCCATTGACTTGTATTCTCCTACTTGGTGTTCAGCCTAACAGAAGGGAGCAGCCCTTGTGTGAGAGTGTCTCAGTCCTTAGCACTGTCTTCTACCTCTGGAGTTCTGTATTTACTTAAAACGTACACCGGATGAGTGGTGAAGCTTTCTTTGTGTCCCTAGTTAGTCTTATGAACAAGGAAATTTGCCATACCCTTTCAATGCTTTGATCAACAACAAAGATGAGTTATTTGGCCTAGTTATTTGGAAATTGAGCTGCATGATACTGGAAAGGGCCAATTTAGTTGTTGGCATCAGGCCCTCTACGATGCCAAAGATGAATGACTCTGCGAGGGCTCTGGCTTTGAAGACAGCTGGCCAGAATAATTCTGGCTTAGATGACATTACAATGGCATAAACAAATGTACCAGAATGCAGTGCATCAGCAAGAGAACTTTCTTGACCTCTCATCTTCTTTTTAGCTGCTCCAAGGGCTCAGAAAGTGGTATAGGGTGTCTTTTTGCATGAAAGCTAACGAGGAAAGCCTTTGACATGACTTAGTGCTCCCCAAGTCCCCCAGGAACCATGTAGAAACCATTGCTCTGGGGTCTGACTGGACTGTCTGACCTACATTGTGAAGCACTGACTGCCAAGGGCGGGCCTCCCTGCAGTTCCTCTCTGCCCAACATGGTGTGCAGGGGTCCGTCTTCCTCCGGAGACAGAGCAGCAAGGATGCAGTGTTGGTGTCTCCTGGAAGTGACACCAGACTTGGAGTCAGAAGCTTGAGGTTTAAGTCCCAGTTCCATCACTGACTCACTTTGTACCAGACTCTTCAACTCTTGGTCTTCCCTTGGTCTTCCCTTTTGTATTATGAGAATGATTAAAAATAACATTTAATCCATAAAATGTTTTTGCAGCTAAATTAAATGTTTAATGTTATGTTAGAACAGAAACACCCTTTTCAAGTAGTGTATCACATCTTCTTTGTAGTCCAAACCAGGATCTCAGTCCAATAAATTGAAATTAACCAGCATGTCTTCAGTTGCTACACCTTTATCCCTATTCCCTCCTTCCCACTATCCTAGGATTTTCCATGAAAAATTAAATATTAAATTTTAATGTTAACCTTCATTCAAACACATATACAAACATGCATGAACATTACCTGCTTACGTATTTTATAGCCAGATTTTCCCCTTCCCCATGCACTGATATGACAGTTTTAAAAAGATAGAAACCACCTCATTTTTTTTTTTAACAACATCAACAAAAAAGTGTGGATTATTGTTGATTCTTTTGCTTTCATAACCAGACCTTAGGAAACACAACAGTCTAGTCTCTGAGCAAGTCTAGCAACATTACTTTCTCATCTGAATTCCTCAACTCTTTAGAGGATATGTCTACATTCTTATGACCTTACAGTTAAGCTCTTACCTAATTCTAGAATAGATTCCTTAGTGGATAATGACTTCTAGTGACTGGAAGTAAGATAGCAGGAAACCCGCCCTGCCAGCTTCCCTTCTGCAGATTCTGCTCCAGCTCTCTGGATTGCTTGCCTGTCTCAGAGTCCAGAGTTTGCAGCAGCATTCCCTGGGTGTTCTTGGCTATGTCCTCGGCCCGGGGCTCTTAGCTCTCCCTCTAGCCTACACAGGTCCACATGATTTGTGAGAGCTGTAGCCAGTCTTCTTCATAGAAAATGGGAAGGGAAATGAATGGAGACCTGGCAGCATATGCTTTTAAAAGGGTTTCTGTTGCCTGTGTAATGTCCTGAACACACAATTTATTATTGTTATTAACATGAATTTACCACTAAATTTCTCCAAACAATGTACTGATATTACCAATTAGTGGATCCTGCTGTGTAGTTTTCTGTTAGTGTATTTGATCTTTAGAAAAAAGAAAAGGTAGGATTTCTAAATCATTCAATATTTTAACACACACATACACACACATATACATATACACACACACACACACATATACACACACACACAGTCAGGGTAGAGGGTGCTACAATAATAAAAGCATGGCCAATTGGTAAACAACAAGAAAAAGGGCAAAACAAGAAGAAAACAATAATAGAATACATGTGATAAGTGGTAGGAATAAGGTAACATATAATAATAAATGTGAATAGGTTAAATTCCTTTAATAAAATCAGTGACTCAGATTGATTAAAAAGATAATTTAGCTATATACTGTCTTAGGGGTCATATGTACACAAAAAATACACAGAAAGGAAAAAAATAAAGGGATAGGTTTGTGAATGCTAACAAACAAAACAAAAATAGGATGGTAATATTAATATTAAAAAGTGTAGGATTAAATGTAAAAAATATTAAATAAGACATAAAAGAATAAGAGAAATAAGTCAGACAAGAAGATTCAAATTTTTTTTTTCCAAGACGCTGGCTGAGGAGAATTTTTATTACTTTTATGTACAGAAACAACAGTGCACACTTAGCCCAGCTTAGTGGCCAGCTCCTTAGCCTTGGCCTTCTCCAGCTTGGCGATGCGAGCCACCAACTTTGGACCCAGCACGTTGCCTCCTCAGTGGCGGCGGATCTCATCATATCTGTCGTTGTAGTTGGTCCGGATGGCTTCCACCAGCTTAGCCAGAGCTCCCTTGTCTTCCGAGTTAACCTGTGTGAAGGCAACAGTGGTGCAGGTCTTCCTGTGGACGAGGCGGCCCAGCCTGGCCGTCCCCTTGATGATGCAGTAGGGGACCCCCATCTTCCGGCACAGGGCGGGCAGGAAGACCACCAGCTCGATGGGGTCCACGTCGTGCGCTATCACCACCAGCTGGGCCTTCTTGTTCTCCACCAGCGTGGTGACCGTGTTCACCCCTTCTCGCAGGACAGGAGACCTCTTGGTGGGCACATCCCCTTTGCCGGCAGCTTTTTTCTCGGCCCGGGCCAGCAGCCGCTGCTTCTTCTCCTGCTTGGTTTCGGGCCTGTACTTGTGGGCCAGAAGAAGATTCAATTATAATGAATCTTTGCCCTGACTGGTTTGGCTCAGTGGATATAGAACGTCAGCCTGCGGACTAAATGGTTCCAGGTTTGATTCCAGTCAAGGGCATGTACCTTGGTTGTGGGCACATCCCCCGTGGGAGGTGTGCAGGAGGCAGCTGATCGATGTTTCTCTCTCATCAATGTTTCTAACTCTCTATCCCTCTCCCTTCCTCTCTGTAAAAAATCAATAAAATATACTTTAAAAATAATAATGAACTTTCATGCACTGAACTTCTTAGCGCTGGATTAGATAAAGCAAGTTTTATTAAAAAGGCAACTAAAACAATATAAATAAAAATATAAATAAATAATTTACAAACACAAAGTTTTCGTAATCATAGTGGGAGACTTTAACAAAAATGCTTTCTGAATTTGATCAAGTGAACAGATATAAGTAGGAACAAGAGATTTGCTTTTGTTATTGACCTAATCCAGTGATCGGCAAACTCATTAGTCAGCAGAGCCAAATATCAATAGTACAACGATTGAAATTTCTTTTGAGAGCCAAATTTTTAAAAGTTAAACTTCTTCTAACGTCACTTCTTCAAAATAGACTGGCCCAGGCCATGGTGTTTTTTGGAAGAGGCACACTCAAGAGGCCAAAGAGGCACATGTTTGCCGACCACGGGCCTAATCTAACAAATAGAAAATGGGCACAGTTTTTTAAAAGACCCTGGAGCATTTACAAGAGTTGAGGACTACTAGACTAAAAAGAAACTTTACAATTAACCAGGAAGTAGACATACTGGCTACATATGATAATAACATAGCATTGAAAATTAATAGAAGATGGCTCCTCTCCCTACCTCCATCCAAGCTTTTGAAACTACAATATGACCCTTTTAAATAATTCTTGGGTCAAACAGGAAATCACTACTCAAATTATAGGCTATTTAAAAATTAACGATGAAAATACAATGCCTTGAGATGTGTGGTACAGGACTAAAAGTGTACTTAGATAAAAAGGCTTTTTTTTTAAAAGGACTGAAAAGAAACAAAGTGAGTTTGTAACTTAAGAAGCTAATAAACGAAAAACAAAGCAGGACAAAGTCAGTGGAGAGAAATAACAAATGTAAATTAATTACCTTTACTAGAAATATTACGTTTTCTAATAAATTAGAAAAACAGATTGGCAATAAGGCAGAAGTGCGGGGTTTATGGGAAAGCTGCTGGAATGAGCTTGGAAAGCTGAGTTAATGGTATTAAAGAAACTATCCCTGTCCTTAATTGCCACTTAGGTTTGATTGAGGTGAAAAGCATGTTCAGAAAATAATTAGAGAACAGGACTATATTCAGTAAAGTGCCTGTTTATGAGCTGTAGATGGTAAACCTTTCGACCACAAAGAGCAGCAGCAGACTGCGTGTCTGGTGTCAGGCAGAACTGAATTTGCACATTGGCTTCAACCTTATCAAAGGGCCCTGGATAGATGATTTAGCCTCTCCAACTTGGTTACCTTTTCCAAAAAGTGGTGATCACAATACCTACCTCTCAGGATTACAGTGAGAATTAAACTAATGTACTAATATGGAGCCCTCACCGGTTTGGCTCAGTGGATAGAGTGTTGGCCTGTGGACTCAAGGATCCCAGATTCTATTCCAGTCAAGAGCATGTACCTTGGTTGTGGGCACAAACCCAGTAGGGGGTGTGCAGGAAGCAGCTGTAACTTAAGAAGCTAATAAATGAAAAAAAATGTTTCTCTCATCAATGTTTCTAACTCTCTATCTCTCTCCTTTCCTCCCTGTAAAAAAATCAATAAAATATATATATTTCAGAAGTACTAATATGGAAAGCATTTAGCTCCGTACTTGACCTGTGGTAAGGGGTTGGTCAATAGTTTCCTAGCAAATCAGCGCAGCATCTCCTGCCAGTCTCTTCTGGGTGTTGGTGAGATGATTAGGGCACTCTCAGTAGCTTAGTACATTTTACCCAGGAGTGAGACAGAAAATAGTGTTTCCAGTAGCTAAGTTCCGCCTACCTGGATGAAAAGATTGTCATTGTGGCTGTGAGATATGCCCATGGTGAATGGTCAGACACGACTCTGTCTGTTAAGAGAAAACTTCTATGAAACATGATGCCCCCAAAGCAGTAAGTGGTCCGGTCATGAGCTGGAGAGAAGATCCTGGCCAGTTCTGCCAATCAGCAGTCAGTTGGCTTCCCTGAGTGGGAAAGGCAGAATCCAGGAGTCCTCCCTGGTCTGTAAAGGCTTTTCCTCTTCATTAGCAGGAGTGAAGTGTCATTCTCACAACCCTTCGGTGTCACCATAGGATCCTCAGGTGTGATGATGGATTCGTGAGAGCTTGAAAGGTAAACATATAAGGAGTCAGATAGTAAACACAGGAAAAAAAATTGAAAATGTAATGCCCACCTCTTATCTGTATTTAGGACTTGAGAATTTGTGGTTTGAGGCAAAAGTAGAATAGGTATGGGAGTAGGTAAAAATCATGGGTTGTTTTAATGTCTGTAGATGCTACACATCAAACCTCTTTAATCAACATATATGTTCGGTAGGGGGAAAAATAGGTGAAAGTAGTTAATTGATGTCTCTGGTTCAAACAAGAACTGATTGCTCTACTTTCTCCCTTCCTAAGACACCATCAACTGCAAGGTACACCATCACGTTAATGACATATGGGGGGGGGGGTGGAGATATGATTTTAACAGGCAACTTTGACATCAGGAATGTTAAAATATGAAGGGAAACACATTGCCAACGAAAACATGCATCTTGGAATTTCACTCAGTATTTTGGTGTTTGCTCTCTGATAAAGGCCAGCACTAATTTTATGAAACCAATAAAAAAAATTTTTTTTTTTACTAATACGTATGGCAGAACTGATGAAAATTAAAGGCAAAAAAAATTTTTTTCTCAGCCCCATAGTTATTTTCTTTCATTCTCTTCTGTGAAGACAGAAAAGTCCCGGACAGCTGGGGAAGTGCTGCACACAGTAAGACTGGAGCATCTTGTATTGCCAGAACTTAAGGAAGTGCTCACAAACAGAAAGCAAAACACAAAGTGGCTAGAAGCGTGTCCCAGGAGCCCATGGATCAACTGAGAGCGCTCCCAGTGGCCAAAGGTGGAACAACAAAACAGTGTTGAATTATAACCTAAAATAAACAAATAAAGCCACACTGATATAAATAAAAGTTTGAATAAATGAATAAGTAGGTAAAAGAGACAACTCTTCCATGCAGAAGAATTCCGAATAACTTACATAGGCCCTCCACCCTCATGGTTTTCCTTCTAACGGGTACAGTATGGAAAGGGGTGGGACCCCTTTACAACGGAGAAACCAGACACATGCTACCTCGGGCAATCGAGGCCAACATCAACAGTATTAACTTATGTTGCTGATATATAGGCTTGATATGTGATTGAAATGGCACTTTACCTCTGTGGTTTTACTCCAAATAACCCATAGCTCCAGTCTTATCATAAGAAAAACATCAGAAGACAAATCCCAAATGTGGGACATTCTACAAAATGCCTGACCAGTGCTCAAAACTGTCGATGATTAAAAAAAAAAAAGGAAAATCTAAGAAACTGTCACAATCACAAGGCAACATGATGACTAAATGTAATGGGATGTCCTGGACTGGTTCCGGGGACAGAAAAAGACATTAGGGGGGAAACTTAGAAAAATCTAAATAAACTATGGGCCTTAGTTCATCATAATGTACCAGTATTGGTTTATTAATTGCTACTCATATAACCTTCTAAAGGTAAGGTTTTTAATAGCGGCGAGGGAGATTGTGTGCATGAAGGGAGGGGATTCTATATTATCTTCTTTATTTTTCTAATCACCTGCAACTGTTCTAAAAAAAATAAAGTTTATTAAAATTTTTAAATGCCTAAACAGGAAGAAAGAGAGAGAGAGAGAGAGAGAGGAAGAAGAAGAACAACAACAACTACCTCATGGACAGGACACCAGCTTAGGGATTTCAAAGGAAAGTTATAAAGCATTTTGTTCAGACCTTTAAAAATTCCACACCAAGCCTGGCTTAAGTAGAACACATGCAACTGCTTAGTTGAAAAATTGAACCGGCAGCTTCAGCAGAATGTGACACTTCTGAATACATTCATATGGAGCCATTATTATTTCTCATCTATGTAGTATTTTGTTTTTCCAAGATGGCAACATTTCACCATTACGCTTACGCCACGCTTATAGCCATCCTGACTCAAACAGCTAATCTGACTGTACAGTTCAATCAGAAAACCAGCCCTCAGTTGTCACAATGGTAAAACACTTCTCCGCGTTTCCAAAGCCAGAAATGCAAGCATGCGGTGAGACGTCAAGGCTTTCCTGTCGTCCAAAGTTCCGACTCTCAGGACTCGTTTTCTCACTTGGTGTTCGCCCATGGAAAACGTCACTGGGGAATTAGAGGGGGATGTTTTCAAGCCTTGGAACAGTGAGATGGTCTACAGTTACCTTTCTAAAAAACAAACCAAGAAATCCTTTTAAAAGCATTTGGGGGGAAAATTATCCCGAGAAAGCCAAACAGAAACACGTTAGGGTTTCTGCGCTGAGTCCAGTTGTACAAATTGCAGATACTCCCTGGTGCGGACATCATTTCACTCCCACACACCACCTCCTACATCCACCAATTCGGTGCGTGTGGAGCCCGGAGAGTGAGGGGAATTTTACAAGGAAAGAGAGCACTGACCACAGGAACAGGGAGACCAGACATAGCACCCTGGGCTTCGTGCTGGGTCCTGCCTCAGCTCTCCACACCCCCTTGGACACACAGAGGGGCACATTCAGGCCCCAATCTCTTGCCAGGCCAGCCTCAGGCCCCCATAGCCAGGGCTCACAGTGCCACCTGGAACCCCCATCATCCCACAGGAAGACGTGGGCATCAGCCCTTTGCTGGCGGGGCGAAGAGTATCCTGCCTTTGTCTGCTGAACCGAGAATCGGGGCACGCTGTCTGACAGCAGGACTGAACAGATTGGCTGTGGACTTGAGACTGTCCCAGGGAATTCCGGGTGTCCCCGCAGGACCCAGAGATGTGAGCTGAGCCCTGGGTGTGCTCCTTTGTGGTGGCTCCCTCAGAAGGGGAGCCCACAGACATCCTGGGCGCATGCCACCTGCCTTTCCTCATCCTCCTGCTTCTGCTGGAGGGCAGGGGCCCAGGCCTGAACCCAGGACCGGGGACAAGTGAGCACCCAAATCCGCTGGGCGGTGCACCCCTTCTCAGCTGCCTCCCCGACCCCAAAAGGGGGCCCCCCGGAACCCCAGAGTCTGCCTCTGCCTTTCCCCGTTCCCTCCTCGGGGAGTCAGTCACCAGTGCCAGGCGCACAGACAGGGCTCTCCCTCCGCCTCCCCCCAGGCCCGCTCCTCTCCCCGTGCCCCGGGGATGCCTGCGGCCACCTTTGGGGCGGACCGCCCCGGCTGCAGAGGGCTCCCCGGAGTGGAGTGGCCGCGGGGGGATGTTATCACATGGCCCGAGCGGAGAGGCCGCGGGGAAGGTGCATGAGGAAGTGCAGGGTCACATGCAGCACCCGCAGGAAACGGCCGGCAGCGAGCGCGGGGACTGGAGCCCGGGGTCGCCTTCAGAGGATTCAGACAACACAGGTTAGTGCTGCCCCCGAAAAAAATCCTCCAAAAATACCTAACCGGCTCTCCTTCCCCAGCTGCCTTTCTGTTTGTGATGCGAGGCAGCCGCGCTGGCTTTGACAGTGACAGCCTCAGGTTGTCAGAGGAACACACACCCGGCCTTAGGGTGAAAATGAAATCCAAACCTCTCGCTGCCCTGTTTGGAACTCCTGCGCCTTCCAAAAACAAACCCTGAGATGCGCAAATCCAGCTCAGCCTCTCCTCCGGGTCCCCTATCAGCCCGAGTCTGCGATGGGACAGATCAGCTCGTGTTTGCAGGACTGCGATGGGACAGATCAGCTCGTGTTTGCAGGCGGACTCCGGGGTGCAAAGGGCGGCAGAGCTGGGATCCTGTGGGTAAAATCAGGCTGCAGAGGTTTGTTGTTTTGGTGTACTTTTCATCTGGCAGGAGAAAGTCTTTTGGGCTTTGTTAAAATATGTTAAAATACTTTCTCGGGTCTTTATACATTCTTAAGTTCCCCTTTCTATTTTTTTTCGGCCCTCTTTCTTCCTTTTTTTCCTTTCCTTCTTTTACTCACACACACACACACACACACACACACACACTCTGGGGAGCAGAGACCAGGCTGGGCAGTTTGAACGTGAGAGGAGGAAGTCCCCTGCGGTGTGAGAGGTGCTCAGGCAGCCTGGGCTGGCGCTGGGCAGGGACTGAGGGCCCTGAGGTCTGGCTGTCACTCAAGCTGTGTGCTGTGTTTTCAGCTGGTGCTCCCCATGTAAAGAAAGACTTGAAGAGTCTTGAGACCTCGGTCAAGGGTTGGAAAGTAGAACCCAGAAACAGGGGAAGGGCCCAAGATCATTCATCCCCAGGCCACGAGGGACAGTTAAATTAAGAACTTCAAGTCAATGAAAGGTCCCTACACAAACCTCCTGGACCTACAGAAGGAAGGAAAATGTCTCAAATTTGAGTTAGAAGAAGGAAATTACTATATTCTTAGACTATGTAAAGGACTAGAACAGGTTAGCCAGAGAGGATGCTGAGGTATTTGGGTGTGTGTTTTTTTCTGGGCATTTTTGAAAATGGAGATTTCTTCTGTGGCTCTGTGGAAGTGTTGCTAGAGGCAGGGAGAGGGATGAAGGAAGAGAAGGGACCAGGATTGGTAGCATCTCATTTTATCTTTTCATGCCAGAGTGTCTCAGTGTCTGGACTGGGAAACAATGACGGAGGGGTGGGGGGCGAAGGGACTCACATGCTGTTTGTACCCGTCAGGCAGAAGAGCCAGGAGAGTGATGAAAGAGGAAAATCATTGTTTACTTGGTCCTCGGATTGCCACATTTTTCATGTTTTACTACCGTGTTGTGTAAGAAAACGGAGAGGAAGCGGACAGAATCAGGGAGGATCCTAAGCTGGGGATCGCAGGCCAAGTGGTTTCAGAAAGCCTGCTCTGGGTCAGACAGGGGCAGCGCGTGACCATCGGGGTGGGCGGTGGAGGGGCGATGGGAGTTCTTTGGTATCTGGATCCCTTTGCACAAATCAGTGTCTCCCCCCCCCCCCCCCAAGGAGGGAACAAATGGGGAGCTGCCGTGGGCAAGCCTCCTGCACGTGGTGCCAGGAGCTCCTCCGAGCACCCCACAGGCCTACAGCTCAGCGGAGGCTGGTCTTCCCTAGAAGGAGCTCCTCTTTCGGTTTTGTTTTGCTCTTTTGCTCTTTTTTGTTGGTCGTAGAGCTTTGTTGTTCAGGAATGTTTGTATTTTGCTAATCTTCTGCTTGCGGTAGAGAAGGTTTTTCTGTTTTGCTAAAATGCTTTCCAGATGGACCTGATGTTTTCTGTAAATGCTCTTCCCCTTTCTTCTGAGGCATCTGTTCTCTGGGGCCACGTCTCACCCCCTTCCCTAGCTTCCCACCTTCACTGTGTTCCTTTGTGTGTCAGATGCAAGAAGACAGATTTATAGAGTGTCATGGCTATGCCTCTGTTTCCCAGACCTGGAAGTGGATTCTGGGGGGAAAGAGAAAAAAAGAGGAAGACAGAAGGTGGTAAATCATGTTGGATCATGGAGAGCAACTGGAATATTACTCTCGCATGTGATTTTTAGACAGGAATTACTTCCAATCTGAATACTGAGTTCAGTTGGAAGTCAACAGTAGAAAGAGATAAGTGGTCGATCACCTTTTAGCTAGAGAAAAAGTGGTGAATTGTATGGAGCGTGTTACTGAATTCTCTAAATGAGAAGGTGGAAGGGGCCTGACTTTGCAAATGTCTCTTCTCCTGGATCCTGACATGTAGGCAGGCCTCTTCCCCCCAAGACCGCAGAGTCAGCGTCCACCAGTGTGTTGGTGGCCTGGGTGTTAAGGGATGAAATGATGAGGTGCCACGGAGTTCAGCCTGGGCCACCTTTTTGAGTTGGCACAGCAAGTCTGGCAGCCCAGCTCTCTGGACTCCTTAGAGAGAAGCAATACACGGAGTCATAGTTTGTTTTTTAAACTGGGATAAAATGCACATAACACAAAACTTACCGTCTTCACCAGTAAGTGTGTAGTTTGGTACTGTTAAGTACATTCACATGGTTGTACAGCCGATCTCCAGAACTTCTCCATCTTGCAAAACGATCAGAGAGCCATTCATTAACTTTCCCGTTCCTTCTCCTTCAACCTCCGGCAACCATGTTGTACTTCTGTTTGCGAGTTTGACGACTGTAAGTACCGCATGTGAGTGGAATCATATGGGGTGGCCAAAAGTAGGTGAATAATTGTGATTATGCAAAACATAGAGTTTATTCTTGTGTTATTGTTTATTAACTAGAGACCAAATGCATGAAATTTGTGCAAGGGGCTCAGCCCTCACAGTCCTGGCTGCCTCAGCCAGTCCTTGCAGCTTTGGCTGGCCATCAGCCCCTCAAAGCCCAGCTTCATCCGAAAGGTCATTGGGATGGTTGTCCGGATGGTCATCCCAATGGTCATTCTGCTGTTCAGTCTAATTAGCATATTAGCTCTTTATCATGTAGGATTATTGTATTATTTTTCATACGAACAACAGTGGACCTACTTTTGCCCACCCCTGTGTAGTATTTATCTTCTCGTAACTTCTTTATTTCACTTAGCATAATGTCCTCAGGGTTCACCCATGTTGTAGCCCATGTGTCAGAATTTTCTTCATCTTCGGGGGTGAATAATATTCCATTAATATGTATACTAGAGCCCAGTGCACAAAATCCATGCACTCACAGGGGAGTTCCCTCATCCCAGCCTACACCCTCTTGGAGTTAGGGATCCCTCGCTCCTTACTGCCCACCTGCTCACTGCTCCTTACCACTTGGCTCGCTGATCCTTAACGTGCCCCAAAGTTGGGAGAGGCTCCTGCCACCACTGCTGCATTCACCAGCCATCAGCCCAGCTTCTGCATTGAGTGTCTGCCCCCTGGTGGTCAGTGTGCATCATAGCAACCGATCATTCTGGTCGTTCCATTGTAAAGGTCACTTAGGTTTTTATTATGTAGATACCACATTTTCTTTATTCATTTGTCTGTGGATGACATTTGGGTTATTTCTACTTTTGAATATTGTGAACAAGGCTTCTGTGAACAGGGCTATACAAATATCTCTTCGAGATCCTGCTTTATTCTTTTGGATACATACCCAGAAGTGGAATTTCTGGATCATATGGGAGTTCTATTTTTAATTTTTGAGGAACTGCCATACTGTTTTCCATAGCAGCTGCACCATTTTTACATTCCCACCAGCAGTGTATAAGGGTTCTAACTTCTCCACATCCTAAACTATACTTGTTATTTTGTTGTTTTGTAGCAGCCATCCTACTGGGTATATGATGATATCTCATTTTTATTTGCATTTCCCTGATAATTAGAGATATTGAGTATTTTTTTATACTCTGGTTGACCATTTATGTATCTTCTTTGGAGAAATGTCTGTCCAAGTATTTTGCCTATTTTCTTAATGAGGTTATTTGGATTTTTGGTGTTGAGCTGTAGTTCTTTATTCTAGATGTTAAAGAACCATAGTTTTGTTTTGTTTTTAAAGCTTTATAGCTTTTATTAAGTTTTACCTTTTTGTTGTTGTAGTTAATCCTCACCCAAGGGTATTTTTTTCATTGATTTCCAGAGAGACAAGAAGAACAGGTAGCCGAGACCGGTTTGGCTCAATGGATAGAGCGTTGGCTTGGGGACTGAAAGGTTCCAGGTTCGATTCCGGACAAGGGCATGTACCTTGGTTGCGGGCACATCCCCAGTAGGGGGTGTGCAAGAGGCAGCTGATCGATGACTCTCTCTCATCGATTTTTCTAACTCTCTATCTCTCTCCCTTCCTCTCTGTACAAAATCAATAAAATATAAAAAAAAAAAGAAGAAGAAGAAGAAACACGTAGAGGTAGAGATAGAGAAACATCGATGTGAGAGAGACACATTGATTGGTTGCCTCCCGTACACACCCCGACCAGGGCCGGGGATCGAGCCTGCAACTGAAGTACGTGTCCTTTATTGGAATCAAACCCAGGACCCTTAAGTATGTGGGCTGACCCTCTATCAACTGAGCCATACTGGATGGTATCAGACTTTTTTTTTAAAGTATTGAATGTCCAGGTCCTAATGTCCACATCATTTGCTACTAGCCAGTTACTTCCTGTGGTTTACAGCCATGAAAAGAGCATGAGTTTTAATAATGTGTGTGTGTATTTCAGCAATATATTTTTATCTTGACCTTGAAGTGCTACACAAAAATCTTAGTCATTTTCAGCTTATAAGCAGTTCAGTTTTCAAGAGCTTACAAAGGCGAAGGGAAGGGAAGGAAAGGGAAGAGAAGAGATAGCTTGAGATGTTTTTTATTCCTCCTATGATTTATACTGTTTTGGTTATATAAACTTCAAGAAAAAGCCTTACCTGGATTCTGTTGACTAAAACCAGACTCCCTACAGAAATAAACACACTTTCTGAGAATCTTCCAGTAATTATACCTTCTTATACCATCCTCCCTCCAAACCTGCAGACTCAGAGCATATGATCATTGTCACGTTCCTTTGTGAATGCCTCAAACAAAATGTTATATTTTGGTTTAAAGGAGTAGGAGGAAGAGGACTCGGGCTGTTGTTGTGGGATTCCTCTGGAGGTGTGAGCATGCTGTTTGTTTAGACTGCAGACTTTCTGGAAGGAAATGGTGGGGAAGCTTGATGAAGTTTGACACAGTGCAGTGTGGATTTATTTTGGTGGAAGTGCTGTCTTCAGAATAAAATATTATT